AGAAGCACACCAGCCTGTGTGATCACGAGGTGTTGAAAGGATGAGGTATCAGGCATCAAAGAACAAAAATATCATTGCGAATGAGGGGAGTGCGGAGTGGAGACCCAAAGCCCATCTGTAGGCAACTGGAAGGGTTGTGGGAAGGACAGGAGCCAGTCAGGGTGCAGTGTAGTAATAATGAAACATACACTTTTCCTCTAGTTCCTAAATGCTTCCTCTCTCTCTTTCCCACCCCACTATCATGTTCCCAATTCTGCCTTACAAATCTGGCTAGACCAGAGGATGTACACTGGTACAGATAGGAACTGGAAACACAGGGAATCCAGGACAGATGATCCCTTCAGGACCACTGGTGAGAGTGGCAATACCTGGAGGGTGGAGGAAGGGTGGGGTAGAAAGGGGGAACTGATTACAGGGATCTACATATAACCTCCCTGGAGGACAGACAACAGAAAAGTGGGTGAAGGGAGATGGACAGTGTAAGATATGACAAAATAATTAATAAATTATCAAGGGTTCATGAGGGAGGAGGGAGCGGGGAGGGAGGGGGACAAAATGAGCTGATGCTAGGGGCTTAAGTGGAGAGCAAATATTTTGAGAATGATGAGGGTAACGAATGTATAAAAGTGCTTTATACAATTGATAAATGTATGGATTGTGATAAGAGTTGTATGAACCCCCAATAAAATGATTTAAAAAAAAAGAAAATTCACATGTTGCTAACAAAGAAAAATTAGGGTTCAGTTCTTAGCTGAAGGAATTTACCCTATAAAACATATTCCATCATAAGATTCCTGTCATAGCAAGCTGTCTTAAATACATGATTCAATTGATCTAAAAGAAAAATCTGTGTTATTATATTTCACAAACACATCTGCATATGTTTCACCCAGGTTTTCCCATTATGTGACATTTAATAACCCAGCCTAGGATTTGCTCTTTGATGACCAAAAACATTGCCCTTTATAAGACTCCACAATAAAAAAATGCTATGAATATGAGGTGTTTTCGAAAGTTCATGGGAAAATGGAATGAAAAGATCATGAAATTTCCCCACAAACTTTTTGAAGCCACCAGGTGTTACCTCATACATCCCTTAAAGAACCTGGAATTTATTGATCATAAATTTATCTCAAATCTGTTTATGCTTTTCCTTCAGGCCATTTTGAGGATAATGAATTGCATATTTTCCACATGTATTTAAGTATTATTTTCTTTCTCAAGTTGAAAGTTGCAAACACAAATGGCTCACAGAATGAGCCGATGAAGTGGTACAGGTGTAAGGAGACGAAGCATGAGCACGGACTTCCCTTTCGGTGGCATTAGCCACTCTCAGCTGCAGCCCATGATTGCCATGTGGCTGTGTGGGACCAGCATGGCCAAGACCTCAGGCTGGAAGCCTCAAATCACAATTTTTAAACATTGTCAGTTCAATCAAAAACTTACAAAGGCAGTGCGCAGAGCAGATTGTCTGCAGTCTGTGTGTGTCCCATTGCCCGTCGGTTTGTTTCTGTCTTTTACATTCCAAATGCACCTCCTAATTTCTGCAGCTTGGTGTATGAATCCATACTCCCCTGGTCTCTCATACAATAACGTTCTTAGAACTTTGTTTTTCACACAGTGTTATTAGTCTGGGTACTTTGGAGAAACAAATCCACAGCAACTCATGTATAAGAGAGAGTTTTATGTAAAGAAAATGAGCATCACGAAAACATCCCAACCCAATGCTGCCCAAGCCCACAAGTCCAACATTAACCCATGAACCCAACACCAGTCCACAAAGTCCTCCACCTCACAAAACAGAGGCAATGATGCCGACCAGCAGGAGGAAAGCTGAGTCAGTGAATGAACAAGCATCTCAGCACTAGCAGGGTCTCCACACGGCTGCGCCCAGCACCCAGGGCTGCATCGGGATAGGTCCATGTAGCTTCTCCTGGGGGATGTCTTGTAGGAAGTCAATCTTGCAAGCTGAAGCAGGGAACTGCTAAGGCAGCTGCACCCGGTGCAACCATCACAAAACAAGAGACCCGAGCACTAGAAAGGTGGGGCTCACCGCTCATTTATCCCTCCGCCTTTCAATTAGCCCCACATGTGATTATCGGCCAGGTTGGCACAATTAACTAACTCACACAGTAAATTCTGTGATGATATAAAAATTGTTTCATGTTCTATTTTAGTTTCTTTGTCCTACCCAAGGCATGCTATTATACAATAGTAAAATTAAGCAGTCAGCCTTTTCATTTGTTGTTATCATTTGGTCTTCAGGGTGAGTGGTAATTTCCAAGATGATGACTGGTCCCGGGCCAACTCCTTTCTTCTTCTCTCTACAGCCATCATTGCATCAAGTGGACAGTGTTCGAGGAACTCGCCACCATGGGCTGGTGGAGAGGCCAGCCAGGAACCGCTTCCACCCACTTCATCGAAGGCCTGGGGACAAGCCAGGACGACAAATATCCTTTTCACCATCTGAGAGGAAGATTTGTTTTGAAATGTTTAAAAGCTTTTCAGGACTTACTTTCTCTGGAATTCCCCCTTGGCCTCAGAATCTTCATTTTATCTGATGAATGAGAGACAATAAAAATAAATGAGCTGGAAACAAAAAACATCTCTGCAGCCAAAGTTGGGAAGGACCATTGGAGATGTTTACTTTATGAAAGCATTGATAAAGTTCACCCAATCTAGCCTATTGCAAAGCGTTCCTCGCATTTTCTGGAGAACTCAGCCAAGTCATAAACCTGACTTTGAGTCTGTTTATAGAGATTAGGCTAGCTAGCTAATGCAGGTGTAGATTAATTGGTATTTCTCTTGACATGCTGACTTGCTATTAGAACTTACAGAAGAAAATTCATATGCTTTTCTGTTTGTTATTATACTTTTCACCCTCAATGCAAATAAAAGCCTGTGGTTTAGGAGAATTCTTACACCGTGTGTACACTCACATCAAAGTATGTCGTTTAGTAGAAAAGAAGAAAAGGAGATTGTAAAATTCATATCCCAGTTTTAGTTGCCCAGTACTTAATCATGAATGGGGCTGCTGGGTGGCCAGCTTTCAGCTAAGGGCTTGGCGGGCCATACAGAACTGAGCTGGATTGCGGGAGAGGCACAGAGTGCACCCAGAGGGCCGTGCTCTCGCTTCACTCTTCGTGGTGCCCAGTCACTGGGGCGGAGAAAGAACCAAGGCAGGGTGACTCTTGGAGCAGAGCTCCGAGTTCCTGGCAGTGAGGTTAGAGTTGGATCCAGAAACCAGGACGTTGGAGAGTGAGTACTCGTGTTTATTAAGCACATACCCGTGCTGGGCATTGTGCTGGTGAGTTCCTGCCATTCCGTTCCTTAACACACACTGAGTAGTTTGGTTTTCCATCAAGGAAACCGAATGCCAAAGTAACTTGCCCTAAATTCCACTGCTAAGATTGGAGGAGCGCAGATTCAGCCCAGGTCATGCGGACTCCTAAACGTGTGCTCGTAGTGATTAGGTCATTGTTTGAGAGAGGCCTCAGGTGAGGGAGAGACTGGAGGCAGGGAGCACAGAGGAATTCCATCCTTTTCTTGCTCTCAGGCTTCATGCGGTTTGGAGGCAAGAATGAAGACTTCTCTCGCTTTTAACATGCCCCACCACCCCCACCAATCAATCCAGAGCTACCCTAACTTCTAGTTTTGTATATTAATTATATTTTGAGAACTGCTCTCTGGAATATGTGATAACATTTACATGTGATGCATAAGGATAAAGGAACTCCAGCTAGTTCACACATGTGGATCAAAGCATTGTCTATATGCTTGGAATGTTCCAGCAAAAGACTTTAAAATATTACTTCTCTTTAATAGTTTCTCTTTTTTCTAATCCCCCTTTCCTGTAGCTGGTTTCTCTCTATTTAGTTTATTATGCAGTATACATAATATATTCAAATGTAGCTTAGATACGTAGATATGCGCATAGCTTTATTAACCAAAAGACTACATATTAAGATAGGAGATTGAAGAATAAAGAGGACCAAGTTCATTCAAAAAAGATTAGTTAGATATCTGTTAACGTCACAGACCATTCTAGACACCAGTTACATACCCTGTCCCTGAGTTGCTGATGGTCTAGTGTAGTGGTTCTCAACCTTCCTCATGCTGCGACCATTTAATATAGTCCATGTTTTGGTGACCCCCCCCAACCATAAAATTATTTTCATTGCTACTTCATAACTAATTTTGCTACTGTTATGAATTGGGTCACCCCTATGAAAGGGTCGTTCTACCCCCAAAGGGGTCGCAACCCACAGGTTGAGAACTGCTGGTCTAGTGGGAGAGGTAGCTAAGTAAACAAGTGGTTGTAGCACAATATGAGGTGCTGTAGTTGAGGCAGCTCAGAGGCTGTGTGAATTAATAGAAGGTTCCAAAGGGAGCCTGAGCCAGGTGGGGTATCAGAAATGGCCTTCTGGATGAAAATCTACTTACTCTTGAAGGATAAATAAAAAGTAAGGTAATAATCTGTTCATTTATTCAACAAATTAAAATATATATATATTATGTATGCAAAGATATGCAACAAAAGACACAGCAGGTCAACAATTTCTGTGTGTACAATTTAGTGAGATTGGTTACATTCTTCAAGTTGTATCACCTTTCATATCAATCTTTCTCAAACTCTCCACTGTGCTTAACAAACTCACTGCTTCTCTAAGCTTCTCATCTGTCATTTCTAGTTGCAGTTGTCAACTTGATCTCACAAAGATGAATTCTTTAGAAAAGTATAATTCTGAATGCTTTACTAATTAAAGTTTAATTATTTGGTTCAAAGATTACTTCAAGGGATAATTTCAGCTCAAGGTTCAAAGATTTCTTCAGGGTAATAACTTCAGGGTGTCACCCAGTCTCAATGCCTCCAGAATGTCTGGATTCCATGAGAATTTGGAATTCTATATTCAACATATGTTGTTTTAGTCTCTTGTAGTTGTCAGGTACTGTTCTCAGTACTAGGGCCGAGTGATGAATAAGGCAGACATAGTCCTTGCCTTCCTGGAATATATAGTGGTAGATGACCAACAGCAAACTGTGTTAAACAAACAAAAAAAACTTTTCCTTAAGGAATAGAAACCTGGTGGCAGTGAAGTGCTATGTGAAGAGTAAAGTTGGAGAGGGAATGTGCCAGGCAGAGGAAGAAAAGTCCCAGTGAGAGAGTCAACAGTGTACGTTCAGTAGACTCTCTTTTTGGATGGTGCATCTATCTCGGTTGTCTAGTGTGCTATAATAGAAATACCCCAGACGGGGGTGCCTTTAAACAACAGACATTTATTTTCTCACAGTTTAGGAGGTTAGAAGTCTGAATTCAGGATGCTGACTGTAGGGGAAGGTTTTCTCTGTTTGCTCTGTCCACCTCATGGTGACTCATAGGATGGCAGTAAATTGCTCCATAGGATTTCCAAAAAGCCAACCAGACTTACTCCATGGAGCCAATTCTGACTCAGCGACCCAATGACTAGAATAGAATTGTTCCTGTGGGCTTCCAAGGCTGTAACTTATCTCTACAGGAACAGAAAGCCTCATTTTCCTCTCTTGGAGCAGCTAGTGGGTTTGAACTGCTGACCCTGTGGTTAGCAGCCCAACTTGTAACCCACTACACCACCAGTGCTACTTCATAGAGTTTCCAAAGCAGGTTAAACCTTTATGGAAACAGATTGCCTCATCTTTCTCTTGCAGAAGAGCTAGTGTGTTTGAACAACCAACCCATTATACCACCATGGCAAGTGTAACGCTTAACCCATTGTATCCATAGACATAGGGGCTAGGATTTATAACACACAGCATTTTTTGAGAGGGGGGGGGAGGCAGAGTTGGTACAATTAAATGTATAACAATGTCATAGAGTATAACTGACCCTGAACAGCCTCACTTTGTGAGAGTATCAGCAAAGCAGAGCAGCCCTTCAGGGGAGATGAAGCGCAGACCAAATGAATACATAACTAAATGGATACATCAGAGTGTGAGTCTGATGCACTGATAACACTTGGCGGGAGAACACGAACTGCTCTGATCCCATGATTCCTGTGTTCTCTTGGTGGTGAAATACTCAGCTCTAAATAGTTGTTCTTCACCTTATCTCTTAACATCTTCTCAAAGTTCTCTCATCTTAAAGCATTAAAACTGGTTTGACATTTTGTTAGAACGAAAAGAAAAGGCATATTCAGAATTGTCCTTATAACTATTTCTAGGCATGGGTGTTAATCTCGGGCAAACTGTCCTAGATAAGGATGCAGTCCTATGATTTCTTGATCTTAAATAAAATGAGCATTGTGTAATAAATATTCCAGCTTCCTCCCAGAGTGGGCAGCCACAACAGGCAGAGCCCGGACACAGGGAGATTCCTCTTGCAGTGGGTAGCCATGACTGCAGAGCAGACTGGTCATTGGACTTTGCTGCTGGCGTGGGTGGATACCACATGTAAAAAGACCTGGGCCCTGCTTCAGCTGCGGCCTGGCCTGTGCCCCCACTCCAGGCAGAAGAGAGACACTGCCGGGCTTGTTCCTGGCTGCAAGCCTAGTCTTCAGAACTCTGAGAAGCTCGTACCTAGAAGAGACAGAGTCCCTTGTGCAGCTGCCCCTGTCTTTCGTGGCACTTTGACCCCTGAAAGGCAGGACGTACGCGGTGTACCAACCACCATCTTGTTGAATTTCTGAACGATTAGGATAAATGTACAGCAAATACAGGATTTTCTGGGACCTTGACACAGAAAGTGACCCCAAAGAAGAGACGACCCAGTCAGGGTGCAGTAAAGCACTGATAAAACATACACAATTCCTCTAGTTCTTGAATGTTCCCCCGCTGCCCCCACTCTTGTGACCTCAGTTCTATCTTACACATCTGACTAGACCAGAACATGGACAGTGCCACAGATAAGAGCCCGCAACACAGGGACTCCAGGGCAGAGAAAGCCCTCAGCACCAATAATGAGACTAGAGATACCAGGAGGGCAAGGGGAAGGTGGGGGAGAAAGGGGAAATCGATCACAAGGATTGACGTATAACCCCTTCCCAGGGGGATGAGCAACAAAAACGTGGGTGAAGAGAATAGCAGATTATGTAAAATATGAAAATAATAATTTATAATTTATCAAGGGTTCATAAGAGAGGATGAGGGAGGGAGGGAAAAATGAGCTGATATCAAAAGGGCTCAAGTAGAAAGAAAATGCTTTGAAAATGATGGCAACATGTGGACAAATGTGCTTGACACACTGGATGAATGTATGGATTATAAGACCTGTAAGAGTACTCAATAAAAGTATTTAATAATAAAAAAAGATAAAATTATTTTGAAAAAGAAAAAGAAAGTGACCCACAGAGGACTCATAGGAAATACTTTCCTGTAAAGATGTGGGTTTTGAACCGAGGAAAAGAAGTTTAGAAAATTTCCCATTTGTTTTCCCAACCAGGTTGGGAATACTGCAGCTAGGAAACGAGGGTGAATG